AATTAAAGAGAGCCTCAGAAATCAAGTAATAAAATGCAATAATAGTGGGGTCCCTGAACAATGATACGCCGTGGGGGGGGGGGGAGGGGGTGCGCTTAATCTTGGCCATTCTACCAGGCGAACCGTCACTTGGGTCGCGGCAAGGACGGCAGCGACCTTCCCGGAGTCGCAAAAACCCGGCGGCGCGCTGCAACACGAAACACGATGCCGCTGTAACGCAACAGCAAGCCCGGCAATAAAATCAAACTCGGGAGGTCCGGGCACTTTTATACTCGCAATCTTGAAATTCGCCCAGCTTTTACACTGCCCGCGTAAGGAACCTCAACGAAGAGAGGAAAAATGCCGTTTCTTCTTTCTTCTCTTGCTTTTTCGCGCGACCGTCGCGCCACGGTATCGCGTAATAACGCCATTAAACGCGCGCGCTGCGAGAAACATGTACTTTGTCGGGCCGAGTGCATTGATAGCTAATCGAAATTATAGCGTGTTCGTGAAACTATTTTCCTTAATTCGCCCCGGCGCGAATTAAAATAATTCCCGGCATGCCGGCCCTAAGTTTTCCGAAACACGTTTGTGTTTCTTATCTCGACACGTGAACGTCGCCACGATTATGGGAGGATCCATGGGCGTCGTGAAGACCTCTAGGGATATGCCTCAAACTTTTCCTCACTCTTGTTCGCTTTCAATTATTGCACAGTTGGAAAATTTGTGTTTTCTTGTTAAAAAAAATGCCGGTTAAAATTTTTGTGTTAAATGTTTAACACATTCATGTGTTAATTTAACATATTGCTCTTGCTGCGTTAATTGACCTCAAATATAAAATTATTAAAATAACCGAAAAGAAATGTTAAAGCAACACAGTGCGTACCTATTTTTTAATTAAATTACACAATACATTATTAGTAACAAGATTTATCTGTTAAAATTCACAAAATAAAATGTTGATTTTGTTCTACAGTGATTTCGAATCGTCATTCGACTTATTACATTTGTAAAATGTAAAAATGACATTGTTTAAAATTCATTTTGTCATTAAAAATATGTTAACTTTACACAAAATTTATTTCAAATTATTTTTAGATTTGCATTTATTTTGTGTTAAATATTGTGTGATCATTTAACATATCCGTGTTATGTTAAATTAACACAAAAATTTGTGTGAACTGTTTGGGACACGTGATGTCTGGTAAATTTAATACAAAGTTTTCAACTGTGTGCTACAGTATACATGTTGTGTATGAATTTCTTTATTTGGGTTTCTATATTTTTATACATTTATGTATTTACTCGTTTATAATTGTTTATCACGAAATTCAAACACCTCATTTATTTAGTGCAATTTATCTTTAATAAAGAAGTATTCCCGAGTCGAAATTTTGGTACTATTTTGATACATTTAAGGATAAATCGCACCTACTTAGCTGATCTATACACCTACGTAGACCAGCAATAACCTACTTTGATGGCATTATATTTTTACTCCTCCCTTGAATCTTTAATTCTAAAAATTTACTTTAGCTGCTACTTAAAAGGACCTACTTTAATGCTAAATTGGCAAAAGTAGAAATTTCCGACACTATCAGTTTGAAAGTAGGAGTAAGTTTTGTACTTGCAGTTCGACCTCTTTTACTGCCTTAGGTCCTACTGTATAATAGAATTAAAGGTTCAACATGGGACCAAAATTTCGACTCGGGTTACTTTATTAAGAAAAATCTCTTTCGAAAGCATTCACAGCTTCTTTTTCAAACGAATTCTCTGCCCCCCCATCTGAAGATATCAAGCAGCGCACGCGCATGCTCTCGCGCGTTTCTTGCGGCGCCCATGGCATCTGCCTGTGCGTCCTTTCTCCCGTGCATGTCGCCGGGCAATCGCGTAATAAGAGATAAATTAAGCGTTTATGTTCGTGCGCGTCGACGGCAGCCGCTATCTGCCGAACGTGGATTCCTCGGCACGTGAGAAGCACGCACGTCTAATTACCGTGGAGTACACCTTAAAACACTCACGGTGCGCGGCTCATTACAATCGCTCGTTTGCCGCGACACCCGAGAAGCGTCCTCTCGCGCGAGTTCCTCTGAATTTTTTTCCCCCACTTTTCGGACCCTGATCGAAAATCGATTTTTCGATCGCATTTTCAAGCGAGAGATTTGTTGCGACGTCGCGAACGTCAACGTTGCTTCCGCAGCCAAGATCGCGCGATTTTGCGCGAGACCCGTCGCTCAGATTCACACGATCGTAGAGTCACGCAGCCTCCACGACCGTCACTGTAATCATAACGATAATGAATGTAGAGTGTCCCCGCGTATACAAGTATTTCAGACGTGGCTGCCATGAATGGCGGGGAAAAATAATTGAAATTGCTTCAAGGTTCGCGAGTGAATAGTCACGAAATTCCTGAACTCTGACGAGGGAGGCACGAATGTAAATGTAATAATGAAGCCGCCGTTTTTCCTCGCTCGACGATTATTACCTGGCTTCTCCTCGCGATTGTCGATAGCACGCTCGTTCTCTTCCGAGACTCTCTCACCTACGATTTCTCCCACCCCTGACGCGACGATTCTGCTTCCGCCGATCGTCGTATCGACGCTACGTTCACCATTGTTTGCAAATGCGAGTCCCGGGCGCGTAATGGTTCCGGTATTATTAGACGCGGGATTCCTCGCGTTTGAGCGATAATCCACCCCACCGCGAGCGGATCTTCGTGGAATAGAAGAGCCAAGGGTCCCGATAAAACAGCCCGCTCCCGCATAAATAAATATTGTATTCGCGATGTCGGCTCCCTACCTGCGCGACTCGCCAAGGTCGCTTTTACAAAGAACTCGAGCACGCAGGTATCTTATTACATTTAGCAATAGCCACGTATCTTATTATATAGGTGTAGAACCCACGGCGAACAGTGAGAGGAAATCGATTAAGAGCGAAGCGATCGATAAGCCGGCGACTAAAAATCAGAATGGACGATAATTACCCGCGTCCTCTGGGCAACGCGTAATTTATGCTCGGAACTGAAAGTCACTCGGAACGTGGCATGATAATAAATAGCGAGAACGCATAGAACGCGCTATTAGTCGATCGGGGCCTAAAAGAGTCATTTGTCATTTCGTTGCGCGCGAAAGGGTCGTTCTGTTAGTCGCGAGCGATCGATCACACGCCCATATCGCAAAGGTGTAAATTTTGGATTTGCTCGAAGCTCGCGTTTGCCGTTTCAGGAGACATTGCGACCAGAAGCAGTATTGCTTGACTGGTCTAGGATTGATTTTCAATTTGTTACATTATGCATCCGCGGTGACAAACCATACCTTTTATTGTACTCGTTATTGGTGATTCTGTTTCATTTTACATATTATTATTGTACACGTTTGATCGTCTGTTAATTTAATTTGTATCTTCGATAAGCCTTACATTATCAAAATCTTCAAGAGCTCGCTTTAGAGGATCGCTTATATTACGATCTAGATTGAAGTGTTGACCTGATTTATAACAGTTGTCATAAGAGTTTTCGAGATTTAATCAGCTTTAATCTCACATGCTGGAACGCAAACCGAATCTCCTTATTTCACGCAGACGAGTTCTCGTCTTCTCGGAAAATTTCGACTCGCGATATGCAGCGAGGACAGGAAGTAAACTTGCTGCGGGAGACGAGCCCGCTGTAAAAATGTACGTGAGATTTTCATCGGGAGAGTCGTTTGGGGGGACTTTACGAGCGGCCATGTCGGGCAATTTATAAATCGCACGGATGCACACCTGCCCGTGTCCTTCGTGCAAAACACGGAACGCATAAAAGCGGTTTATCGCCCCTCGGCGCGGATTCGACGTGGAGCCGACACGATCACGATCGTTGTTCGCGTTTTGCTCCTCTTCTTTCGGCAGATAGGCGGAGGGAATGAGGCATTCGCGGGCTTGTCCGGCGGTTCCGCGTGTCTTTAACGACGCCACAAAAGACGTAAAATGTTATGTCCTGTAAATGTTACACCTGGTCTCTTTAGCGTGGATATTACGGCAATTCGGGCGACGATATGGCTTCATTTGCGTGCTCTCGTTTATTCGTTCCACTAGCTAGCGTAAACTGGACGCTTAACGTTTCCGACCTCCCTTCATCGCGATCATTTCCGCTGCTGCATAATTGAAACCTTGATATTTTTATTCAATCATAAATTGAATTTTAAAAAAATCTTTGGTAATACATTTACTGCACGCATACGTTGAAATTGACAACTGAAATATTTTCTCAATTAAACTTGTCACAAAGCAATGAATTGCTTCTAAATTGCAACTGGTTAACGAAATTTGCAAGGGATGCAAATTGGATTCTCTCCTGCGTAATTCAAATTTATTTATACAAACTTCGGATCTTATACATTACATATTTAAAACACTTCAATGATTACTTGACCATGTCTGGCAAATTTTTATGTTCGACAAGGGCCACAAACCATGGTCGAAACGTTGTGAGTTTAAACATAAAAATTTGCCAGACACGGTCAAGTAATCATTGAAGTTTTTTAATTACTACTGGCGACATAGAAGATTAACCCTCGCTAAACTATACATGTATATTTAATCGTCACTCTACGGAAAAATGCCTACTAGAAACATTAGCAATAATAATAATAACTGCAGTTTTCCGGCACGAGTTGTGTTAGATAATGAATCTGTATTACTTGATAAGGGCCTGGAATTAGGTCGAAACGTTGCATTGTAAACAAACCACCTAATTTTTGCCAGTTTGGTCGGCTACCAGTTTTTCCTCTCGGTTTGATTTGATCACCTGGTGACAATAAGAATACTTGAGCACGTAAATTGCAGTAAGTTTTGACATAGGCATTTTTCAGGAATAGATATTTCCTATTGACGAAACGTGTGTCCTTTATGCGAGCCCTGCGCGCAAAGAGTTAACATCCAAAATGCCAAGAAATAGACATCAGTTTGACTCATTTCATCACGAGATAAATGTCTCTTCGGCTGAAATAAAATTGCGGTACTGAATAATGCGTGTGATTTTTCAGGTACTGCTTCAGGCGGCACTGGTCTGGGAGGAGGCGCGCGGCGCTCCAGTGAGAAAGACCGATGTACTCGCGGGTAAAGAATTCCTCTCGGTCTTTATAAACGGCGCTATGGCGACACCCCAGCAGCGACGCCGGGGCTCTCGGCTTCGTCACCAAATGGCAGCTCCGGCGGATGACAGCGCGACCGCCGAGTCGCATCAGCACGAGGCGTCGATCTATCGAATATCTCAGAATCCGAGCGGCGGCCGGCCGATTTCGGTGTCGAGGCCGCAGACGAGCGGCCGCGAGGAGATCGTTCGTTTCTATCCTATAAATCAGAAAACATTGGAGAACCGACAGCAGAATCTAGCGTCGTTGATCGACGACCTGAGCACGCCTGGCGGTATAAGTTCGACGCGTTTAACGCCCTCGAGCGCGGCGACGCCGACGATGACAAGCGCGCCGACGTTGACCCACCAAGATCGAACGATCTCGAGGTCGAACGGGACCAACGGATCCGCTGCCGTCGGCAGAGGTGTCAGCCGGCAGAAGGTGATCGGAGTCAGCGTCACGTCTACGGTCGAGGCCACGCCGTACAAAGTGCGCGTCGAGCACCACGACAGCACTGACGCCGCGGTAGTTACGCGACCACCAAGTTCGGAGGCTGCGGTGAATAGGGAAGTGACTAGGGAGTCAATCAGGGAATCAATTAGAAGCACGACGAGGGGTACCGGCGGACCGGCGACGCCGTCGTCGTCCACGACGACGACCACGACGACGACCACGACCACGACGACTACAATGACGACGACGCCACCGCCACCGGATCGCTTTGTCACCGAGGAGCTCAGCAACATCGTCTCGGAGTCGAACAGGAGCGAATTCTCCGTCGACGAGGACTCGCCGAGAACGAGCTGGCACAGCCGCGTAATGATGACGCCACGAATTCAGCAGATCCCCGCGAAGAGTCACCGGGAGGAAGAAGTGAATGAGGCCGCGCGGATCATCGACGTCGATGCGATCACTCTGCCGACGGAGGAGAATTACGAGCTGCCTGTAGAAAACTCGGAACGGCGGGAGTTGAACGAGGAACTGCCGGAGGTGTCGTCGGATCGGCTTCAAGGGCGCAAAATGGGACGTCATTATGACGCGCCGCTCTACAATCGCTCGGGCTCGAAGATATACGGCCAGTCGTCGAAGGCGTACAAACCCCCGCGTATTTATAACGAGCCGGCCAAGGTGTACGGCGAGCCCGAGCGTGTGTACGGGGAGCCGGCTAAAGTGTACAGCGAGCCGGCTAAAGTCTACAGCGAACCAGCCAAAGTCTACAGCGAGCCCGCCAAGATCTACAGCGAGCCCGCCAAGGTCTATGGCGAGCCGGAGAAAATCTACTCCGAGCCGTCCAAGATCTACTCGGAGCCGGCCAAAGTCTATTCCGAGCCGGCCAAGATTTACTCGCAGCCGGCCAAGGTGTACGGCGAGCCCAGCAAGGTGTACGACTCCGAGGGCCAGCCGGTGGACCGTCAGCGGGAAAACGGCGAGCCCGATGAACAGAATTACGAGATCGACGAGTCGGTCAGCGTTGGCAGCAACGGCAACGTCCACGGACCCCAGTTGGTCGTCACGGAGGAAACCCCGGGTGCGTCCGAGGTCGAGGACGGTCACAAGGTCGGCTACGTGGTGGAGGGCAGGAACTACAGGAAGTACAGGGTAGAAGAGAGAACGCCGGATGGCTTCATCGTGGGCGAGTACGGCGTCGTCAGTCACGATGATGGTTCGCTGCGCGGCGTCAGATACACCGCTGACGGCACCATCAATCCCCAGCTCATCTACGACGCTCTGATGAAGTTCCTCGCACTGTGAGCGCCCCGTAATAGCGGAAGAAGACGGAAGAAAGATGAATCGTCGCAAGACACTGGGAGAAGATCGCGCAACGACGCTGGGAAAATTTCTTCGTTTCGCAATCTATGATGTGTTTGAAAAATCGAAAGTGATTCGGAAGATCTTCCGAGAGGCAATTGCCAGGGTCCACGATATCTCCACTGCAATCGCCTTCCGGATGGCATCTGGCCTGGTCTTCTCGATCATTCAGTGTCGGCTAACGACCGCGAAGGCGAATCGACGAGTTGCGGACTTCCTCGAGATGGCTTCGGCGATGTCGTCGACGAGACGAACACGACTGATTCTTTTTGCTCTTGCCAACTCAACTGCCTCAACAATTAATTTTAAGGACGACGATTTAGGATCTAAGGAAGAACCCATTCGACGTAGGCGACCTGCGCGCGCCGCCGACCCGAGAACCAAAAGGTCGACCGGGACCGACGCACGAAAGTCGAATCTCGATGCTCAGTCATTGCGAAACGCTGACAGATGAAAGTTACTCTTTGGGCGGCGAAAGTACGAACTTTTGTGCGCGGTGCTGCTCGATGGCCTTTGACGATTGTTGGCAACCGATCGAAGTGGTTGTCGAACGTTTTTCTTACGAGCCATACGCAAGAACTTTTCAAGTGACAACACGACTACTTGCGGGGGCCACTAGAAGTATATTTCAACGCGTAAGAAGCTTGCGCCTGTGTGCACGACACGCATCGGCCTGGACGATTTTCAGTTCGGACGTATCGTCGACAATATTAGGGAGTTAGTTTTTTCGTCTGCAAATCTCACACGACACTCGGTATTTATCTTTGCCCGAAAGTACGATGATAAATTCATAACCGTTTCATCACACTCATAATTATAAGATGAATGAGAATCGTGCCTGACGAAACGTAAAATGTTGAAGAGAAATGTCTGATCCCGGTGCGACATCGGCGCAACTCGAGATTTATTTTAAGCTCACACTGACAATGATTTCCTCGTACGCATATCGATAAGTATCTTCGCAACTGAATATCTCATATAACGAGAATCTGTACCCACCTTTGTGCACTCATCGAGAATGCATCCGCGACAGACTCTCGATCCCTGATCTCTGATCTCTGATCTCCGGTAAGGAAAAATCTTGAACCGGACTCGGACACTAAATATTTAGATTGCAACAAATACTTCGGCTGGAGGTGTGCTTTAACACGCATGAAAGGACTCGCATCACAGAAATGATTCATGATATCGTTCCGCACGCATGCCGGTGGTCTTTCCGTCAACTTTTCAGAATATTAAATGCCAGAGATCCTCGATCGAGCGATATGATACGATCTCGCGTGACACGGGAATAAATCTTTTCTCGTATGTTGAAGAGAAATGTTATCGCGGTGTCAAGAGATCTGTATTGATCAGAGATTAATTTAACCGCCGAAGGGGATTTAATGTATTTACGCTGTAGTTAGTAGTGGAACATTCGGTATTTTCTCTTGTCATTTTTAACGTCTAGGAAATGTTTATTACACAGAGTACTATCCAGGTTCGTTGAAACGTCTTCAACTTGAAGACATTTAATAAAAATATAGAAAGTAAAATAAAAATAGCATTTAAGTGAAGCATTTTATCACGAGACGTGTCGAAATTGCGCGATCGATGAATTGGCCGCATCCGAATGTTCTAACGGCAGCCTCCGAAATGATTGACTGAAGAATTCCCTTCGTGCGCTTTTATCGCGGTCACGCTTCTGCGATGAAGAGGTAAATGAAGAAGTTGCAACTGCCAGGGCCCTCGTCCGAGGATGGCCGACGGTTTCCTAAATGAAGCCAGTGGGCCCCGCGGCTGCGATGGACGAACCGACTTGTCGCGGCAGCGTCTCCGCGCGTATCCTAGCTCCATAAGCTCCCTAGATCTTAAGGCTGACAAAGGTAGTATCCCAATCAGCGAGAAAGCTCGCTCTTCTCCGTAGCGTCGATTTATGTTATTTAGCGATTCTAGCTCTCACATTACCTCAGTCCTTTGAGATAGTTCCTCTCGCCACGCAATATCGAGCGAACACACTCATACTACTAATTGTAAGTGCGAGTAATTTCGCTCCGCGAAATTCGCGAGAATATGAAGTGCTCCGAAATCGTCTTTGCTTCTTTGATCAGCGATTGCAGGAAGGTAAATTTCAAGATTTATCGACGAAAGGAAAAGGAAACGTAAATATTATAAAAGCAGCGACGTTAGTTTCTGGACAGCCTGTATATCTCTCGCGCGTTGCTCACGTTCGTAGACTATAAAGGTCTCGATTATATTCTTTACTCTCCTGTATGTACATTTTCTAAAGCATTCCAATATATTACAGACGGTATCTCTAAGAATTCTCTCTTGTATAAGGCATGCATCCTAGATAATCTTTACTATAAAAATACTATGTAATGCTGTGGGCAAGCCATCGCCATTTTTCAACAGCAACTTTGTAATAAATCCATTGCCATGAAGAAAATATCGCGATTATTATGGACTGAGTAAAATGAGCGTTTTTAGTTTGCGATCGACGAATTATTAATCCCAATCGTTTCCTAATAACTTTAATTTTCTGATATTTTTCGTAATTCTTTTTCGATATTATATTTATTGAACTTTTGAAATTTCTAAAACGAATTATTCTAAGAAATATTTCTAAAAAATTTTAAAAATTAGGACGTGTTAAGTTATTGTAATTCTTAAAATTCTACAATTTATGTTTTTTCTTTATTCAGTGTTACATTTGATTTGTGTCCAAATTATATATTTCATTTATATCTGTAACAAAAAACTTCGGTAACCGAAAATTAATCTGTTAACAGGATTGGGAAAGTTACTTTATAAAAGTATCTAGTTACAGTTTTTTCCCTAAAAATGTAACTAGTTATAGCTACAAGTTACCAATTCTAAAAAGTAACACGTTACAGTTACTCAGAAAGTAACGAATCGTTACTTTGCAATTACTTTCTTGCAATAAAAATAGCAAATCTGCGTTTGAATTATAAAGTGTCGATAAAAGCGTTTATGTGCAAACGCAAGACCTAATGCGATGTGTGGGGATTTAGAAAATATATAAAGTAACTATTATAATGTAACTGAGTTAAGTTACAGTTACAGTTGGAGAGAAAGTAACGAAGTTAAGTTAGAGTTACCAAAAATAATAACTGTAACTTCGTCAAGTAACGAGTTATTTCCCAACCCTGTCTTTTAATAATAAACTGCATCTGTCATGCATTTATTATTTCGTGTAATTTGGAAAAAACGTGACGAATTTATGTTATTTACACATGTTTCGACATAAAGGGCGATATTATTCTTTCAGTTGCTATTCACAACGTAATGTGCACATAATGAAGCAATCAGATCAGCGAAACTAGGGGGTCATTAATCGTCCTTTTTACGTCTGCCGTGAGAACGTCTCTAACAATGTCGGGCCTAATTTCCCCGTATCTATCAAACTCTGCCCGTGGCGATCGAAAAGGCGCTCAAGAGGTCAAATACACGCGTGCGGCAACATTGGCCGGTTTATTCATTATCCTGGCGCCAGACAGAAGGTACCCGTGAGATGCTCGTACAGTTTGGGGAGTAATGAACGTCCTTGAATGCCAGACAATTTTCTCCATCAGATACATCCGTCCGTGTCTCAATAACTCGTTAACAACGTCCTATTTTGCACGAAGATCTCTGGAATAAATACATTCCTATTTTTGAAGAATATTCTAGTTTTTGTGACGAAAAACCGGTAACTTTATAGAAAGTATCTTGCTAATAGATCTTGCATTTGCAATTTGTTATCTATTCTTAATCAGTAATTAACGAAAGCCTGTTTCAATTTCTCACATATAATTATTAATTAAAAAAATAAGGTTCCTTGCTGTTTATTTATGACATCGTTTTATCGAATGGATGTTCACAATAGAGTTATCTTTGGAACTTTCTTCCGTGCCTTCGAGGCCGAAGTTATTTCATAAACAACGATAATAAATCTGTGTCGAATTTTGTAAAACAGGTATCCATTCAATGACGTGCATTGAATGCAAATATACCTATATATTTAATATATGCAAATTATGCCATACGATTGTATCCTTGGCAAATTAATCATAATCCGTCTATAATAGCAATAATTTATATATATATATACGTTCATAAACCAAGTTTTTCCACCGCTTAAATGAACGACGTGTAATTTGATCAATATGGTGTTCCACTTTGGATAATCGTCCAATCAGCCGCGTTAAAATCTTTAATGACGTTTAATAAATCGAGCCTTTCCTCATTATAAATTTTTCCGTCATCTCATAACCGTCTCGAACGGTTTTAATAGAAGACGCTCATAAAAAAATGAGAAGCTATTTATTAAGTTTATAAATGCGAAAGCATTTTTGCATTGTTATTACAGAAGTAATAACAATGTGTTTCTAAAAATATTGTATACATGTGAATTTCTTATAGACTTTTAAATCTTTTAGAAAATAATGGTTCGTCCAAAAAATATATTTTAAAAATTTTATATACTCTGTTTTTCCGGTTGGTCGCGACTCTGACGCTGTCTAAACGTACAGATGGAACCAGGTAACCGTCACCTGAGACAGGTAGGAGCCGGTAAGTTAGGAGAGGGTCTTACCGCTGCACGGTCGAATTACCGATGCTGCGCGCTGGATTCGAAAGAGGAACAGCGTTCAAAGGAACAACCGCTGGGGTTTCGACGGCGAATAAACATGGTCACGCGACTCCGCCACTCGATATAGCGCCACGCGCGCCGCCTGGTCACGCTTCTTATTGTGCAAATAATTGAAACACTAATCCCCTTTGCCTTCACGTTGACAGTCGGAACGTGATCGGACAAGGCACGACGACCCGGCGCCGTTTAGGAGTGCGTGCTCGAGGGGGTGCGACCCCGGAACGGGATGAGCGCCGCAAAAATGGAAGCGCAAACGCGCGACGCGCACTCACCCCGCAGGGCTACACGTGACTTCGATACACTTTCGCTTCAAACTGTCGC